TAATCGAATATATTTTATGTCTACCTGGTACGAATGCTCCGGTAGAAAGAGTATTTTTTTATTTTGAATAAATTGTGGACGTCTGAAAGAAACACTTACGGTTCCAGAGTTCTAAAGGCGATGTTGTTAACAAAGATAACAATAAAAAAACTTGAGCAGAATTTTATTCTTATTTAAAATCATCACCAACTTTATTAAAGCAAATTTACCACTGACAAATGTAATTAATAATTAAAAAAAAATATGTTGCATTTAATAATTACCGTCTATACCGAATATAATTTTATAGTGAACACTAATTGTATAAAGTTATAGTTTTTAGAGTATAAATAAACCCATGTCCTGTTTTGAGTTAAAAAATAAATGGTCAGTTTAGTCTTTTTAGTTAAATTTAGTTTTAAAATTTTTAGTTTATAGTAAAAAGTAGGTATATTAGTACCTACTTAGATACTTTTTACCGAATTATAAGTATAGAACACCTTATGTACTCAATTATTTTTTGAAAAAGAAGAAAAAACAAGCAATAAATAATATACTATATTTTAGCAAAAAACTATAACTTAGTAATACTAATTATAATTATAACTTAGGACATAAATGAAAAACTCATAACTGACTTTTTGGCCCGACCCAGGATTCGAACGCGGGACCTCATGATCAGCAGTCGCACTACTACAACCACTAGACCAACGAGGCAGTCCTATATTTAATAAGATATTGTGGTTGGATGATAATATTGAATTAGCCTTTTATAGTGCAAATTATAATATTTGTCGAAATTTTAATTATGGATTCGAACTTTACATGCTAATGGTGCTTCATTTTTTTATTTGCATTTACTTCAAAGAAAATACACGCAAAAGGCTTCATCGCGCAGTTAAAAACACAACAAATATATGTATAACTAATACGAAAAATTATACCCAAAACAAACAAATAATACTACCTATAAATAACCTAATAAGTAATAATATTATCGACTGATATGACGTGAGTGTATGCGCTGGTCGACGCTCTAACGACACGAGCTTCACGTCGAAGAGCTCAGGGCTCACTGACTTCAGCAAGCCCGTGAGCAGTGAATATGCCCAGATTTTAAAATAATTTCTTAATAAAATCAAATTTTGGTCTTTTGAAAAAAAATTTACTATAGAAATGTTCATTAATAAATTGCTTATCCATTGGTGTAAATCGCAAAATAAAATAATACTTACTTTACGAGGAGATGCATGTTATCAATAATAATTTCACATTTATGTGGTTTCGTTGTAAGGAGATTATATTAACATTAATTCCTTTAAAAAGAATTGGATATAGCTTTTATGGAATCAAGATTATGTAGAAATATAATGTGTTTTTTATTTGTTGATATATCTTTTAAATAAAAAGTAGATAGCTCCTAAAAACCGCACAAATAACGACTAGCGCGACATTTTGCTCAACCTGCGCCTTAAGCAAACTACTTAATTTTGTTAAATTACCTGAATTCTTTTTGAGGGTAGTTTATTTTTTTTATTACAGTCTATGAAAACACTGAAAATGTTTTAAGTCATTTAAAGAGCAATCGAATTGTTCAAGAAGTCTTAGTTAATTGCTGCAACTTGTGTCCATAACAAACCAATACCTTAATAATGCGTTCTTGAAGCACTTTTCACTTGACACTTGCTGATTGTGTGTCAATGAAGTTGTTTACTACAAATTGATAATAAGACTACTACCACAACAAAACATTACTGGTAAATTATGGTAAATAATTATATCACTTTATAAATTACTGCAATCCAAGTTGCTTATTTGACTGTGTGCATTTGGGTGCGTATATTTGTTCAAGGTAACCTTGCGTGTACAATCCATGCACAGTTACTCGTGTGTTTCATAAAAATTAGCAAAATACTGACTGGTACGGAATCTGGCTCCAAGGACCTAATTTTTAGGCGAGTACTTAAACATTGTTTCCGAGAACATACGTAGTATTTAATTCAAAGTTTGACTTATGTCTATTACGAAAAACAAATGAGAGCATGATGAAAAGTGCAACTAATACCATCTAAAACTTTTAACATAAAGATATACAAGCGCAATACAACTAAAAATAAAAAAACTGCGGTGTCCCACTCGCTTGCCAAGCTGAATTTTATATTAAACTTCATATAAATACATTATTACATATCGATATTACATTTTCTGAAAATACGAGGAAATAAGGCTTCTACTTTTATTTCAAATTATCCCAAATTGAATGTGATTTATGGGCAACAACTACTCTCACGCGAGCGCTCCTGCGTGTGTGTGATTCAATTCACGTTTTCGTCTTTCAAGTTTTTGTTGCCTACTGTTTACTTTATTTGTGACACGCTTACTACTAACGCTTAAGATAATATACTACAAGACGCATATTTTGATTCCAATTTTTCCTTTTACAGTTTTAATAATAAAAATAAAATTAAAAAATATATTTTTGCTTATCTACGACGTCACCGACGACTGTTCTTATTATGGCGTATTTAAAAATTTAAATAAACTATCTACAACTAAATTACGCAAGTAGTCTTAATATCTAATATTGGTACCTCAAAATGGAATCCGTTTCTCTTGTGGGGTTGTTAACAACGAATATAACATATATTAAATCCACAACAAATCCGTTTATCCACAACGTGAATTCAAAGTAGCGGATCGGAGCGCGAACGAGCGGCTTGATGGCGTCGGACGGTCGGATCGACTGGCGGAGCGAGAAAAGCGATACCGGTTGCCCCCGCGCAGCCGAGTGCGTCCGAAGATTGCCGAACGGTCGAACAGACACATTTTTTTATGCGTAGACAGCACATTTTCTTAAAATATTTTTTATAATTATTACCTGTTCTTGAGCACTTTTAACTTCCGTGAACTCAGCAATAATTTTAGTGTGGCGGTCTTCATAACTTTAGGCTTGTTTGAAGTAAACACAGATGAAATACTTACATTTAAAGTTCCGGCGAGTTTGCAGACCATAGTATAGGGCCTTTGTGCACAATCCACCTATCTTCATATTCACTATTTAAGTTATCGCTCACTACACTTGAATAGTTTGATTATCTATCAATTGTTCTTCGATTGGTAGGTTAATTACGACACGTACTTTAATTTCTTGCCGCGGTAAAGACTCATTTTACTATCTTTGCACACCACGTTATTTTCCATTGCATTAAATGTAAAATTGAACCATTTCATAGTTTCATAGTATCTGCGGTTCAAATATTTTCGTTATGTCATTGTTAACAAAGCGTACGTAATGAGTTCACGGTCAACACTGTCAGCTGTTGACCGGGCGAGCGGACGTAGGTACATAACGGTGTAACGGTAAATAGAAGGGATGGGCGCGGGAAGTCGCGACAAGGTCCCTTACGGAGCGACCCATACTAATAAGTGGTGTCTTTAAAATAGTAAGTGTCAGATATTTATGAATAATAATCAGTTAAAATAATGCTGTTACGGCCTACGGCTGCTCCCTTAAAGGATCCAATCTTCAGGGGCCCATGAGCTGAAGACCTCCGAACAGACGTAGGTCGGGCCTCCTAAGGCCACGTGGAATCTCTCTAATTACACTAAAATATATGGCGGAGCGTTATACTACGGCCAGTCGACCGGAAGGAATATGGATGAAGCTTACTTACCTATTCAAGGCGACTGGTCCCTCCGGAGTCGGTCAGGTCGCATGTGGTTGTGTAGTGCAAGGGAAAGAATGGTGATGTGGTGTGTAGCTGGGTGTGACTGATGGTTATTGAACCTAGACCTTGGCCGTCGGCAGCAGCCCGAGCGTCGACACCGCTCCAACTTGAGGGCGCCTTTCGAGGTTGTCCACAGTCACTTTCTTCTTTCGTCACGTTGACAGTCAATTAACTCTATCGTACGATTTACTAACTTACAAATGCCACTAACTATCGCTGAGTATAATGGTTACCGCACAAACGCACACGGAGTTTAAAGGGTCAAAGGTCACTACCGTTTCGCGTAGCAATAGTTAATTCTAGAATCAGAGGCCGCACTATCTAATATTGCCGAATGCACTTATGCAGGTTTTGAGTCAGACACAATAAGTCCCGGGAAACTCTCCAGTAGGAATGCGCGTCACAATGATAGACCGTATATTTACTGGCCGCGCCGAATTATTCCGAGTTCCCTAACAGAATGGACCGCGTGCTCACGTCAGCACCGATTAAAGACGACTGACTTTTCGCTCGCGACTCGCGCGCTCGTGCCACGCCCCAGCCTAAGTTCAAACCGGAATCGCGCCGAGCCGAGTGACATCTGGTGTCGACTCCGACATCAACGTTTTGCGCGAACAAATGCATTACCACGCATTTTGAATTTAAAAGATAAAAATGACTGAATGTTTGAGATCTTTTTTTAATGACCCGTGACCAAGGGTGCTGTAAAGCACCCGAAACGTCGGGAATTAAAAAAGTTAAAATTAAACGCGATATAATCCGTAAAAATTAGTTTCATTTAATGTGTAGTCTTCGCGTAAATATAAGGATACATTATCTTTTTTTTAATTAATTTATTCTTCACTTGCCTATATTAGTTATTCTGAACTATGACGTAATGAATGGGGAGGCTTATTTCTTTTTTTATAGCATAATGGTGACACAGTACACACATGGTAAGTGAATGGTTTGGTCCATAGATATATTTTCATTAAAATGCAGATGCGTTGTCACACCTGAGGACTGATGGAATGCCTCGTATAGAGTAAAAAGGGCATCGGTTCTCAACACCCACCATACTAAACACAGCAACATTGAAATGCTATTTACGCTGGTATTCTGTGAGAGCGTTGACTCATTCGTGCTACAACCATAATATACTTGCAAAATGATTCAATAACGTGTAAAATGCTATGCTCAGCAGTGGACTTTTATGCCCACTGTTCGCAGGAAAACCATTACCATTACAGCTTGCAGTAATGATAATGATATTTCTGCGGAGCGAGTGCTGTCGTTAATGAGCGTGGTGGTCAGGTGGTGCACAGGCGGCGTGCGGGCCATTCCGCAAGTGGTTCGCGGCGGGGCGGCCGGCGGCGCGGCGCTCGCGCGTGGGGCGCGCGCCCACTGCGCTGCTGTGCACCGCGGGCCGCGCGCGCACGCTGCACGTGCACCCGCGCGACCAGTTCGACAACCCGGCGCCGCTCGCCACGGTCAGTGCACGCTGCACACTACACGACACACACACGAGTACACCGCGGGCCGCGCGCGCACGCTGCACGTGCACCCGCGCGACCAGTTCGACAACCCGGCGCCGCTCGCCACGGTCAGTGCACGCTGCACATGCACACTACACGACACACACACGAGTACACCGCGGGCCGCGCGCGCACGCTGCACGTGCACCCGCGCGACCAGTTCGACAACCCGGCGCCGCTCGCCACGGTCAGTGCACGCTGCACATGCACACTACACGACACACACACGAGTACACCGCGGGCCGCGCGCGCACGCTGCACGTGCACCCGCGCGACCAGTTCGACAACCCGGCGCCGCTCGCCACGGTCAGTGCACGCTGCACATGCACACTACACGACACACACACGAGTACACCGCGGGCCGCGCGCGCACGCTGCACGTGCACCCGCGCGACCAGTTCGACAACCCGGCGCCGCTCGCCACGGTCAGTGCACGCTGCACACTACACGACACACACACGAGTACACCGCGGGCCGCGCGCGCACGCTGCACGTGCACCCGCGCGACCAGTTCGACAACCCGGCGCCGCTCGCCACGGTCAGTGCACGCTGCACACTACACGACACACACACGAGTACACCGCGGGCCGCGCGCGCACGCTGCACGTGCACCCGCGCGACCAGTTCGACAACCCGGCGCCGCTCGCCACGGTCAGTGCACGCTGCACACTACACGACACACACACGAGTACACCGCGGACCGCGCGCGCACGCTGCACGTGCACCCGCGCGACCAGTTCGACAACCCGGCGCCGCTCGCCACGGTCAGTGCACGCTGCACACTACACGACACACACACGAGTACACCGCGGGCCGCGCGCGCACGCTGCACGTGCACCCGCGCGACCAGTTCGACAACCCGGCGCCGCTCGCCACGGTCAGTGCACGCTGCACACTACACGACACACACACGAGTACACCGCGGGCCGCGCGCGCACGCTGCACGTGCACCCGCGCGACCAGTTCGACAACCCGGCGCCGCTCGCCACGGTCAGTGCACGCTGCACACTACACGACACACACACGAGTACACCGCGGACCGCGCGCGCACGCTGCACGTGCACCCGCGCGACCAGTTCGACAACCCGGCGCCGCTCGCCACGGTCAGTGCACGCTGCACACTACACGACACACACACGAGTACACCGCGGGCCGCGCGCGCACGCTGCACGTGCACCCGCGCGACCAGTTCGACAACCCGGCGCCGCTCGCCACGGTCAGTGCACGCTGCACACTACACGACACACACACGAGTACACCGCGGACCGCGCGCGCACGCTGCACGTGCACCCGCGCGACCAGTTCGACAACCCGGCGCCGCTCGCCACGGTCAGTGCACGCTGCACACTACACGACACACACACGAGTACACCGCGGGCCGCGCGCGCACGCTGCACGTGCACCCGCGCGACCAGTTCGACAACCCGGCGCCGCTCGCCACGGTCAGTGCACGCTGCACACTACACGACACACACACGAGTACACCGCGGACCGCGCGCGCACGCTGCACGTGCACCCGCGCGACCAGTTCGACAACCCGGCGCCGCTCGCCACGGTCAGTGCACGCTGCACACTACACGACACACACACGAGTACACCGCGGGCCGCGCGCGCACGCTGCACGTGCACCCGCGCGACCAGTTCGACAACCCGGCGCCGCTCGCCACGGTCAGTGCACGCTGCACACTACACGACACACACACGAGTACACCGCGGGCCGCGCGCGCACGCTGCACGTGCACCCGCGCGACCAGTTCGACAACCCGGCGCCGCTCGCCACGGTCAGTGCACGCTGCACACTACACGACACACACACGAGTACACCGCGGACCGCGCGCGCACGCTGCACGTGCACCCGCGCGACCAGTTCGACAACCCGGCGCCGCTCGCCACGGTCAGTGCACGCTGCACACTACACGACACACACACGAGTACACCGCGGGCCGCGCGCGCACGCTGCACGTGCACCCGCGCGACCAGTTCGACAACCCGGCGCCGCTCGCCACGGTCAGTGCACGCTGCACACTACACGACACACACACGAGTACACCGCGGGCCGCGCGCGCACGCTGCACGTGCACCCGCGCGACCAGTTCGACAACCCGGCGCCGCTCGCCACGGTCAGTGCACGCTGCACACTACACGACACACACACGAGTACACCGCGGACCGCGCGCGCACGCTGCACGTGCACCCGCGCGACCAGTTCGACAACCCGGCGCCGCTCGCCACGGTCAGTGCACGCTGCACACTACACGACACACACACGAGTACACCGCGGACCGCGCGCGCACGCTGCACGTGCACCCGCGCGACCAGTTCGATAACCCGGCGCCGCTCGCCACGGTCAGTGCACGCTGCACACTACACGACACACACACGAGTACACCGCGGACCGCGCGCGCACGCTGCACGTGCACCCGCGCGACCAGTTCGACAACCCGGCGCCGCTCGCCACGGTCAGTGCACGCTGCACACTACACGACACACACACGAGTACACCGCGGGCCGCGCGCGCACTCTGCACGTGCACCCGCGCGACCAGTTCGACAACCCGGCGCCGCTCGCCACGGTCAGTGCACGCTGCACACTACACGACACACACACGAGTACACCGCGGGCCGCGCGCGCATACTGCACGTGCACCCGCGCGACCAGTTCGACAACCCGGGGCCTCTCGCCACGGTCAGTGCACGCTGCACACTACACGACACACACACGAGTACACCGCGGGCCGCGCGCGCACGCTGCACGTGCACCCGCGCGACCAGTTCGACAACCCGGCGCCGCTCGCCACGGTCAGTGCACGCTGCACACTACACGACACACACACGAGTACACCGCGGGCCGCGCGCGCACGCTGCACGTGCACCCGCGCGACCAGTTCGACAACCCGGCGCCGCTCGCCACGGTCAGTGCACGCTGCACACTACACGACACACACACGAGTACACCGCGGACCGCGCGCGCACGCTGCACGTGCACCCGTGCGACCAGTTCGACAACCCGGCGCCGCTCGCCACGGTCAGTGCACGCTGCACACTACACGACACACACACGAGTACACCGCGGGCCGCGCGCGCACGCTGCACGTGCACCCGCGCGACCAGTTCGACAACCCGGCGCCGCTCGCCACGGTCAGTGCACGCTGCACACTACACAACACACACACGAGTACACTGCGGGCCGTGCGCGCACGCTGCACGTGCACCCGCGCGACCAGTTCGACAACCCGGCGCCGCTCGCCACGGTCAGTGCACGCTGCACATGCACACTACACGACACACACACGAGTACACCGCGGGCCGCGCGCGCACGCTGCACGTGCACCCGCGCGACCAGTTCGACAACCCGGCGCCGCTCGCCACGGTCAGTGCACGCTGCACACTACACGACACACACACGAGTACACCGCGGACCGCGCGCGCACGCTGCACGTGCACCCGCGCGACCAGTTCGACAACCCGGCGCCGCTCGCCACGGTCAGTGCACGCTGCACACTACACGACACACACACGAGTACACCGCGGGCCGCGCGCGCACTCTGCACGTGCACCCGCGCGACCAGTTCGACAACCCGGCGCCGCTCGCCACGGTCAGTGCACGCTGCACACTACACGACACACACACGAGTACACCGCGGGCCGCGCGCGCATACTGCACGTGCACCCGCGCGACCAGTTCGACAACCCGGGGCCTCTCGCCACGGTCAGTGCACGCTGCACACTACACGACACACACACGAGTACACCGCGGGCCGCGCGCGCACGCTGCACGTGCACCCGCGCGACCAGTTCGACAACCCGGCGCCGCTCGCCACGGTCAGTGCACGCTGCACACTACACGACACACACACGAGTACACCGCGGGCCGCGCGCGCACGCTGCACGTGCACCCGCGCGACCAGTTCGACAACCCGGCGCCGCTCGCCACGGTCAGTGCACGCTGCACACTACACGACACACACACGAGTACACCGCGGACCGCGCGCGCACGCTGCACGTGCACCCGCGCGACCAGTTCGACAACCCGGCGCCGCTCGCCACGGTCAGTGCACGCTGCACACTACACGACACACACACGAGTACACCGCGGACCGCGCGCGCACGCTGCACGTGCACCCGCGCGACCAGTTCGACAACCCGGCGCCGCTCGCCACGGTCAGTGCACGCTGCACACTACACGACACACACACGAGTACACCGCGGACCGCGCGCGCACTCTGCACGTGCACCCGCGCGACCAGTTCGACAACCCGGCGCCGCTCGCCACGGTCAGTGCACGCTGCACACTACACGACACACACACGAGTACACCGCGGGCCGCGCGCGCATACTGCACGTGCACCCGCGCGACCAGTTCGACAACCCGGGGCCTCTCGCCACGGTCAGTGCACGCTGCACACTACACGACACACACACGAGTACACCGCGGGCCGCGCGCGCACGCTGCACGTGCACCCGCGCGACCAGTTCGACAACCCGGCGCCGCTCGCCACGGTCAGTGCACGCTGCACACTACACGACACACACACGAGTACACCGCGGGCCGCGCGCGCACGCTGCACGTGCACCCGCGCGACCAGTTCGACAACCCGGCGCCGCTCGCCACGGTCAGTGCACGCTGCACACTACACGACACACACACGAGTACACCGCGGACCGCGCGCGCACGCTGCACGTGCACCCGCGCGACCAGTTCGACAACCCGGCGCCGCTCGCCACGGTCAGTGCACGCTGCACACTACACGACACACACACGAGTACACCGCGGACCGCGCGCGCACGCTGCACGTGCACCCGCGCGACCAGTTCGACAACCCGGCGCCGCTCGCCACGGTCAGTGCACGCTGCACACTACACGACACACACACGAGTACACCGCGGACCGCGCGCGCACGCTGCACGTGCACCCGCGCGACCAGTTCGACAACCCGGCGCCGCTCGCCACGGTCATTGCACGCTGCACACTACACGACACACACACGAGTACACCGCGGGCCGTGCGCGCACGCTGCACGTGCACCCGCGCGACCAGTTCGACAACCCGGCGCCGCTCGCCACGGTCAGTGCACGCTGCACACTACACGACACACACACGAGTACACCGCGGGCCGCGCGCGCACGCTGCACGTGCACCCGCGCGACCAGTTCGACAACCCGGCGCCGCTCGCCACGGTCAGTGCACGCTGCACATGCACACTACACGACACACACACGAGTACACCGCGGGCCGCGCGCGCACGCTGCACGTGCACCCGCGCGACCAGTTCGACAACCCGGCGCCGCTCGCCACGGTCAGTGCACGCTGCACATGCACACTACACGACACACACACGAGTACACCGCGGGCCGCGCGCGCACGCTGCACGTGCACCCGCGCGACCAGTTCGACAACCCGGCGCCGCTCGCCACGGTCAGTGCACGCTGCACACTACACGACACACACACGACACACACACGAGTACACCGCGGGCCGCGCGCGCACTCTGCACGTGCACCCGCGCGACCAGTTCGACAACCCGGGGCCGCTCGCCACGGTCAGTGCACGCTGCACACTACACGACACACACACGAGTACACCGCGGGCCGCGCGCGCATGCTGCACGTGCACCAGCGCGACCAGTTCGACAACCCGGCGCCGCTCGCCACGGTCAGTGCACGCTGCACACTACACGACACACACACGAGTACACCGCGGACCGCGCGCGCACGCTGCACGTGCACCCGCGCGACCAGTTCGACAACCCGGCGCCGCTCGCCACGGTCAGTGCACGCTGCACACTACACGACACACACACGAGTACACCGCGGGCCGCGCGCGCACGCTGCACTTGCACCCGCGCGACCAGTTTGACAACCCGGCGCCGCTCGCCACGGTCAGTGCACGCTGCACACTACACGACACACACACGAGTACACCGTTGACCGCGCGCGCACGCTGCACGTGCACCCGCGCGACCAGTTCGACAACCCGGCGCCGCTCGCCACGGTCAGTGCACGCTGCACACTACACGACACACACACGAGTACACCGCGGGCCGTGCGCGCACGCTGCACGTGCACCTGCGCGACCAACCCTCCACCTCCCATGGCCCCACCGACCCTCAGGTCATACGGGCCGAATCTCGGGAGATGCGCGCGGTACTTGCACGTGGCTCTTTCCCGCGCACACTTTCTTGACTCCCTACAAATATTTAATCTATTCCTTGTCCCAGTTTAACGTCATTCTCCCCCTTCTGGGGCTGACGACACATTGACGCCTACGTCGTCGGGCGCTCTTACCAGCCTTCCATCCTGCCTTGTCCTGCGATCGTGCCACCTATGCGCAAACTCGCGCAACAGTCCGTAGTTTACCACATCGTTGACGAGATCCGAGTAGTAAACTGGTCCCTGAACCGGACGAACTAGTCCATCCATCATTTTCACTCTTAGGTCATCATACAGAGGACATTCCCATAGAACATGGTGAACATCCTCCTCCGACATACCGCACTCACACATACTAATTTCATACAATTTCATGTCGCTCAGTCTCTTCCGAAAGCATCCATGTCCGGTGAGAATCTGAGAGGTTTGGTAGTCCGGTGAGACCCAGGTATAACTGAGTCTCAACGCCACGTCCGGGAAAAATCGATGTAGCTCACGTCCTTTTGTATCACACGTCCATCTATCCTGCCAGGCGCCTATCACCTCAGTCCAGATATCGCGATTCCGTCTGCTCAACTCCTCTTTGGGCGCGGTCAAACGTGCTATACCCATCCTACCAGCACGGATGACCTCTAGGTCAGCAGGGAGAACGCCAGCCAGCACCGGTAAGGCCGCCGTGCTAGTGGATCGGTACGCCTTGGTTAACAATACAAGAGCGGATCGCTGCGATCTCAGTAGTACGCTACGAACTGTGTACATGTTTGCACGCTCGTACCAGCACTCTGCCGCATACGTAAGCGTGGACACAAAAACTCCTCTATAAATTAATTTTAAACTCGGATATCGTACACCCCATGATGATGTAGATACGCGAGACATATTGCCGAATCCCTTGGTCGCTCTTTCAGAGATATCGGATGCATGTTGCACAAACGATAGTCCCGAGTCTAAAACCACGCCTAATACCTTAACGTTAGTCACAGTCTTAATAGACTCCCCACCAAGTTTAATAACGGGGGGGCGCTGAAGTTTCCCTCTAATAGTCATGGTGGTCGACTTTGAGGAGGAAAACTCCAGTCGATTCCTTAGCCCCCACTCCCGTACAAGGTCCAGAGTGACTCTGGCCCTGGATTCGATACCCGCTCTCGTACCCGATTCAATCAAGATTGTAACATCATCGGCATAGGCAGTCATGGCTACTCCCTCGGGCAGAGGGAGTCGGAGCAGGTCGTCCATCAGCACATTCCACAGTGTTGGGCCCAGCACGGAGCCTTGAGGACATCCCATGGTCGACGTCTTCCACTCTACCCGGTCTCCGATGTAGAGGCCCACACGCCTGGAGGTGAAGTAGTCCACCAACATTCTATAAATGTTGGGTGGACATCCACCCCTTTTGGCCTTGACCATCATCATCGGCCACCAGGCATTGTCGAAGGCGCCGGAGATATCTAAGAATATTGCTTGCACGTAGCATGCCTGAGAATACCTTGCCGTGCTGAGCAGTACACGCAGCGCTGTTACTGTAGACCGCCCCGGAGAAAATCCGTGCTGGTACTCGGATATCCCGCGGCTAATCGCGGGAGCACATCTAAAAATTACTCGTTCCAATAATTTTCCCAAAACAGGGAGGAGCGTTATTGGACGGTATGCCTTGACGTCGGTGAGCGGCTTGTCATTACCCTTGGGAATGACAATCAGTCTTCCGTCCTTCCATACATTGGGGAAAACCCCCTCTTCCACACACTTGGCATACACCGAGTGAAATTCCCTCGGTGCCGCAATCCACACATTCCTCACGATTCTCGCACTCACTCCATCGAGTCCCGGAGCCGTGTTGGGCAAGGCCTTAACTATACCACCCAGTTCCTCAACCTTAAGTGGAGGCGCAGCTTCACCCGACGGCATGAAAGCCGCCAGCAGACGAACCTGCCGGTGATAAGGCGAGTCGCAGTCAGTGCTGTCATCCGGACAGAGCGCAGACATTAATTTATGCATCGCTGCTTCCAGACCGTCCGGGTGTACACCCGCAAAGGCGATCCCATTGATCACATTTGCAGGCGGACGTACCCTGCCGCTGGAGAGCCTGTATGCAAAGCCCCATGGGTCCTCATTGCCAGAGTTGGCAATCTTCCTGTGCTGCGACTGCTGCGCCTCCACCATCATCTTCCTATATCTCGCACGCACACTATGGAAAGCCATCCTGGCTAACTCCTCAGACCTACCTCCCAGACGCCTTTTACTCTGCCAAGCACGCCTAAGTTTGCATTGCAATTTCCGAGTTTTATCTAGTTCAAATGTCCACCATTCATACCCCCCCGACCCCCTGGGGCGACGCTCCCCTAGGCCTTCCTCCGCAGAGCGAATTACGATCCCTGAGAACTCCTTCGCCAGGAGAGCCGCGGGTTTTTCTACGTGCAGCCATCCCATTCGTAATTTGACAATCGCCCGGAACCTTTCCCAATCCACCCCTCGGTCACGAAAACGGGGAGGATCCCTAACGGATGCTGCGCGCGTCGTCGGCCTGCTGGTAGTGGCCGTGTAAGTTATTAAATTATGATCGCTGGCGCATACCCCCTCGTGCACTCGCCACTCGGCAAGGTAGACGTCCCCAGTGAAGAGGGTCAGGTCCACGTTGGACTCACCTCTAGGCCCAGAGAAGGTGTAGGGCTGGTCAGGCATATTTGCCAACGTTAAAGCATGAGTGATAATAAACGCCTCCATTTGCTGCCTTCGATATTGTACATTTTGTCCTCTTCCCACGTAGTGTCGGCGATCACAATACCAGAGTGGCGAGTGCGCATTGGCGTCGAGGCCCATGATCACCCTTCTGCCCTTAAGGCAACTCAGGGCGACCTCTAAGTGGTGCAGGTGGTCATCAATACTGTCGCTAAATTTAAAGTACGCTGACACCACATAGAGGTCCCATCGGTCAACATGGCACACCACACAAAATTCGTTGCTGAGGTGACTCAGCACTGCTACCCCAATTGCTGGGTTGGCAAGATAGATGCCCGCCCACGGGTGATAGCCCACCTGAACGATCCCCGCAACCTGGGAGTACTGTTCTTGTACAAGAACAATGTCCAGGTGCAGTTCACGCGCCAGGATGGGCAGCTCAGCCGCGGCGAGCTCCCCTCGACCCAGGTTGATTTGTCCTAATCGTAGTGCCTTGTCTTCCTGGTTAACTATGGGGCTGCCCTTATCGGCAGTACTGAGTGGTGGCCACGGAGCGTTGCTCTGCATACAGCCTTGCTGGGCAGTTCCTCGCCATGGTCACGTGCGAGCCAGAGTCAATTCTACTAAATCGCTTGCACGTAGCGCACTTCTCCTCCGTGGACTTGCAGGCACCACGTTCATGTCCCGCCTCTCCACATTTCCCACATACGACCTCCTTCGATCGGCAGTACTTCGCAGGATGCCCATACTGTTGACACCTCTGGCAGCACGTGACGTCCACGTAATCACACGGCTCAACCACGTCCCAGCCGATGTATAACCGATTGTATCCGATCAAGATATCTCTCAAGGCAGCCGAACATTGAAGGATCACGGTTGTCCTTCTGCTACCTCTCCAGGACTTTTTGAAAGCAATCCTGCAGTTTTCCTTCACTTTTGCTTCGGTCCATCCACAAGCAGCAAGGTTCTGCTCGTGGAGGCCGCTGATTACATCCTCATTCTTGGGGTCCTCCTCAAAACCCCTAAGAGCCACCAGTGGTAAACATTGTCTGGGCTCCGTCACCCTCAATGTTGGAGGGGCAGCAGTCTTCAGTTTCTCTGCTGCTTCCTGGGACGTGGTTTGGACCACGACACCCGCATTTCCGACCTTCCTCAGCTTGTCAATCTGAAGCCCGCTGGTCTTGGGGTTAACTGCCTTCTTGAGCTCCATCTTCGTATCTTCTGCAGTCTTCAATGGGCCTTCCGTCTCAGCCGGGTAGAAGGCGACAACTGGGCCTTTACTTGCTGGCATCAACATTTGGTCGGCCCCCTTCGGCAGCCTCAGCGCCACCGAGTAGGAACGTTGCGGTGCCGGGTCCATCGCGTGGCAAGGAACTGCACTGGCCTCAACCTGCGCCAGTCTTCCTTCCGCAGCAATCTTCCCCTGTTCTGCTCTAAGTGCTGCCAACTCCAGTTCAGATATATGGACCTCCATTGTCGCAACCATTGCAATGAGATCATGCCCATATGTAGCCACCCTGTTGACCTCAGCCTTGTTGAGTTTCGACCCTGGTCCGGTGATGATACCCATGATACCCTTGACTGCATCACGAACATGATCGATCACCTCCAGCTTAGATGCGGTCGAAGCTTTAAATATCCCTCTTATTCCCCGGGAGCTCTCCCTTTGGCAGTCCTCACCTACGGCCTCTGCAGCAGGCTCCTCCACATCCCTGGATGGCAGTCCTGCCACCGGGGCCACACTTTGGCGAGGCTCAGTACGCTTGCCCACCCTTGGTCGCTGGGAAGATGACTGTATCTCTTCTGGTGACGTCAGAGGACGCTTTTCAGGTGCTACTGGTGGTGGGGGGGGCAACGCGACCGGCCGACCAAGCGGGCCCGGCGGAGTCCTGGCCAAAGATTTGCGAGGAGTAAACAACTCCTCATCATCCGCCATTATTATTTTATTAACTGTATCGTCTCAGATTATATACAAGAAGTCAAATCACTATCACACATAAAAACAGAAAAGGAACGCAAAATGTCAACGTCAAACTCTATGACAGATGACAGCTGCCAACGTCAGTGTCAGTGTCAGTGTCAATGTCACGCTCAATGACGGCTGTTAGTGTCAACACAACAACACTTCCTAACCTCAGTAATAGAATAATGTTCAATGTTTTACTACTAAACTAAACTACAAGCTATATATAATAAAAGTACTTACAAGTAATTATCCATTAGTAGTAAATTGGAAATAAAACGTAACACAAAGATACTTAGCTAAAATAACCACGCGGTCCGCGTGGTTCTAACCAACAAACACGTGCTTATTCCTACAAAAAGTATTTAAAAATACACCAACACAACACAGTTTTGTTTTGTACGACACAAAAAGCTATATAGTTATTATTAAACAAAAAATTTGCACAAAAGTATTAAGAAAACACAAAATTACTAGAAAATACTTCACGAGGTCACGCGAGAGCGCATAAATACGTCCGCTCAGTACGAGTACCGACGACGCAGCACCTGCGCGACCAGTTCGACAACCCGGCGCCGCTCGCCACGGTCAGTGCACGCTGCACATGCACACTACACGACACACACACGAGTACACCGCGGGCCGCGCGCGCACGCTGCACGTGCACCCGCGCGACCAGTTCGACAACCCGGCGCCGCTCGCCACGGTCAGTGCACGCTGCACACTACACGACACACACACGACACACACACGAGTACACCGCGGGCCGTGCGCGCACGCTGCACGTGCACCCGCGCGACCAGTTCGACAACCCGGCGCCGCTCGCCACGGTCAGTGCACGCTGCACATGCACACTACACGACACACACACGAGTACACCGCGGGCCGCGCGCGCACGCTGCACGTGCACCCGCGCGACCAGTTCGACAACCCGGCGCCGCTCGCCACGGTCAGTGCACGCTGCACACTACACGACACACACACGACACACACACGAGTACACCGCGGGCCGCGCGCGCACGCTGCACGTGCACCCGCGCGACCAGTTCGACAACCCGGCGCCGCTCGCCACGGTCAGTGCACGCTGCACACTACACGACACACACACGACACACACACGAGTACACCGCGGGCCGTGCGCGCACGCTGCACGTGCATCCGCGCGACCAGTTCGACAACCCGGCGCCGCTCGCCACGGTCAGTGCACGCTGCACACTACACGACACACACACGAGTACACCGCGGGCCGCGCGCGCACGCTGCACGTGCACCCGCGCGACCAGTTCGACAACCCGGCGCCGCTCGCCACGGTCAGTGCACGCTGCACACTACACGACACACACACGAGTACACCGCGGGCCGTGCGCGCACGCTGCACGTGCACCCGCGCGACCAGTTCGACAACCCGGCGCCGCTCGCCACGGTCAGTGCACGCTGCACATGCACACTACACGACACACACACGAGTACACCGCGGGCCGCGCGCGCACGCTGCACGTGCACCCGCGCGACCAGTTCGACAACCCGGCGCCGCTCGCCACGGTCAGTGCACGCTGCACACTACACGACACACACACGACACACACACGAGTACACCGCGGGCCGCGCGCGCACTCTGCACGTGCACCCGCGCGACCAGTTCGACAACCCGGGGCTGCTCGCCACGGTCAGTGCACGCTGCACACTACACGACACACACACGAGTACACCGCGGGCCGCGCGCGCATGCTGCACGTGCACCCGCGCGACCAGTTCGACAACCCGGCGCCGCTCGCCACGGTCAGTGCACGCTGCACACTACACGACACACACACGAGTACACCACGGGCCGCGCGCGCACGCTATAAACTATATTGCTATACTTAATTTGTTGGTCTATCAATATTTAAATAAAACATGTTATATAATCGGCAGGGTTTCACCATTGAGATCAGGGTGGTTGGAGGCGAAGTAGACGAGAAGTTGTCGTCTGCGGCGACATTTCAATACGACTCAGTCAACCAGCGCGTCGCTGTGGAGATGTGCTTCCCGGAGCCTGGAGTGTACCGTGCCGCAATCTTCTATGATGGAGTGCTGCTGCATAATGGAGAGTTTGACTGTATAGTACTTACTGGTTAGTTTTTGTTGTTATAGATATGATAATAATTAATCATTTTTAGAAGGAATTGATTTAAAACTACATTTGTCATTGCCTCCTAAATGTTATTTCAGAACAATAAATAAAACATAGAAACTTGACTAAAACTACAACAGAATGCGTTGGCTCGTACTGCTTTTACTAATGAACCTGACAGTGTATTGGAGAGAAATAAATAGAAAACAATTAACTTGATCGAACGAGTAGAAATTAATCTAGTCCTGTTTTCTTTACATTTTTAGATATATAATAAACTAATAAAACGAGTATATCGAATTAGAATATTGCTACACTGAGAACGAAATCACTATAGATCAAAGACTTCATATCTTGTGAATAGTAATATACTTGTTATTCAAGCTTTACCCATAAATTACACGCAACATCTCTTTTTGACTTTCAATTTAGAAAACTTGAGACAAGTATATGAACTTATTTATAAATTGTAGGTTCCCTCTATCATATGTATGTAATTAGTAGTTGTACTAAGATTCATGTGGTAGTAAGAAATGACTTTCAATAAGAATTACACATGTGATCTATATGGAATAAAGAAATATTCTATTCTATTCTATTCTATTCATGCTTTAGTTATTATATATTTAAGAGTGATATAAATAGACTTTGGCTAGTACAACTAATAAAAGCTCGTTGTTTACTACCGTTCTAAATTAAGCATTGTTTTTTTTCGTTTATGTGAATTAAAGTAATGTAATTTAGAAAAACAAGTAATTTGTTTTTCCTTGTGTTTGTAATTTTTAACAAATTAATGTATTTTAATCTCATTATAAATGTAGCGCTTACGACAGCCTCAGGTCGAAATTTAGTAAATGTGCCGCCGTTACACGGCCGAAGAAAAGGCATTGGAATTGTCAGTTGAAGCGTAGTGGTGTGAGTGTAGTGTAGCTCGTTCAGCCGAAGCACAAGAGCCAAGTGTTGAGTTTTTGAGTAAGGAGTATCGATTGTGAGCAAGTGAGGAATAAGGAATAGTGAGTGTGGAGCGTGCGTGTTGTGCAGCGGGCGAGGCGGCGAGCGTGCAGCGCGCGTGCGGGCGGCGCGCGCACGCGGCGTTCGAGGCGCGCCTGCTGGCGCCCGGCCGCCCGCGCCGCCTGCTGCTCGCGCTCAGCGCCAAGCACCTGCTGCTCAAGGACTACGTGCTCAAGTTCATCCCCAAGCGCATCACCACCTTCAGACTCTGCCCCTCCACTAAGGTGCGCCACAAGATACTCGACTTTAATAGTCATTTTGAATAGTTCAAGTCGGTAAAATTGGACATACACCAAGGTTACTCTCCATTTTAGAATGCTACAAAATTTCACGCATTACAAAAATCCATAGGTTGCATGTTAATATCCGGCTCGAAGGACCAAATTTGTCGGATGTAAGTCCAACACATGAATTGATAAAAATAGTAAAACACGGAACTAATTACGCAAGAATAATATATTAAAATAATTGTTGATATGGTAATGGTTCATTGTAGCATTGTACAAGCACAAACGGCGTGTTTAGTGTGCCACAAATATACTATAAAGATTAATTAACACAAAGTATCTCCCTTGCTTGGCATTTAATAGATTATTTGCAAATATGATTTATAAATAATACGTGTGGTGGATTTTCAGCTAACTTTATTACCGCGAATAGGACCTGGTCCAGGGGGCGAATTTACATTGGATGATGGTGTCCAGCCAGCAATGCGACTATCGTCGCCACAAAGAGATCTACTTGCTGCTACATTCACACAATTGCTTATAGCAAATTGTGGTGGAGAGGATTCGTTTAAGGTATTTACTGTCTGGTACCGTTGTTAATTTACTCCTTTTTGAATCAAGGCTTAGGAGACTACAAGTTTTTCACTTTAAATCGTTTTTTTTTACCTACACATTAGGATTTTCTCCTGTATCTTGTAGCTTGACAATTAAAATATATAAATTTCACAAGCACAAACATCCAGACCCGGAAAAATTATTTGTAGGCTATACAAATATATAGGATTCGGAGCCACGACCCTTGGCGCTGCAAATTATCTCTATGCCACTGTGCCATGGAGCCGTCTTTAACCGTCATTAGCTAACAAACGCTTTATTATTTTCAAAACATAACTGATAATCACTAAAATATACGATGAAATTTTGTAGCTAGAATGGTAATATTTGTCCGCAGAACAAGCAAGAGTTCTTCTACAGTGAGATGCGTAAAGCACACGCAAGATATCCTCACGAGAAGTTAAGCGTGCGCGTGCTGCGGACCGAACTACTTCGCAGCAGCCTCAAGGCTACACGGCACTTCACTATTGCCGACTGGTGCAAGAACTTCGACGTTTCCTTCCAGGGCGAGCAGGGTGAACACTTAATTGTGGTTTTTCGAATTTAGTGTATTTCCTGCTTTGATGAAACATAATATAGTAATACCTTTATTTAAATCTGGTAGTACATTGGACTTCGCTAATTTTACACCTATTTCTGTACTACCAATTACACGTAAACGTCCGATTTATCAGATAGAAATTGCTTAAAGCGATATGACCACCGTTTGTAGTTCATAAGTTCTCCGTTATTGTAACCACTTTGTTTTAATGCAATAAAGAGTTATCTAAAGAGTTATCTACCAACTGTCATTATATGTTTTGAAAAAATAATTTTTGATTACTTGTTTTTTTTTTATTTTAATAAAAATAAAATACTTCATAAAAATCAATATGGTTTCACAAGGGGTCGCTCGACAACTAACGCAGGTGTTAAGCTTATGAAATATATTTTCAATCCCTGGGAGAATTCACAAGATGCCTTAGGTATTTTTTGTGATCTTTCCAAGGCTTTCGATGGTGTTCATCATGAGATATTAATCAGGAAATTACGGTGTCAAAAATATTGAGCTTCGACTTATTATTTCATATTTAAATAACAGAACTCAAAAAGTCGTTATCAATGATAAAGGTTCCTCTGGATCGGTAGTATCAATGGGCGTTCCTCAGGGCTCGATTCTTTTCTCTCTTCCTGTTCTTGATCTATATTATAACTATATACCTAATCTATATAATGACTTACATTATCTTGTAGAGACAATCACGATTTAGTATTATTTGCTGATGATACCTCTTTAATTTTGAAATTCAAACGAATCAATTAATTTTGAAAATGTAAATAATGTTCTATCGAAATTAGTACATTGGTATAATGCCAAGAATTTGCTCTTAAACAACAAAAAGACAAAATGATGTGTTAAATTTACAATACCTTATGTTAAACATTCAAATACCAATGTGCTCTTAAATGGGAAGGAGTTTAGTATTTTGGATACTACTGTTTTTGTTGGTATTACTATGGACGCGAAGCTTCAATGGGGCCCCCATATATCTAAATTAGCAAGCAGACTTAGTTCTGTAGCATATGCTGTAAGAAAGATTAGAAATCTCACCAATGTTGAGACAGCTAGATTAGTTCATTTTAATGATTTTCATAGCCTAATGTCTTATGGAATTTTGCTATGGGGTAATGCGACTGACATTGAAGTCATATTTGTTTTACAAAAGAGAGCCGTACGGGCAATTCATAATTTAAATTGTAAAGAGTCCCTTACAGAAAATTTTAAAGAAATAAATATATTAACTTTGGCATCGCAATATATTTATGAAAATGTAATGTATGTACATAAACACATAAATAGTTTTGTTAAAAATAAACATGTTTATACTTTAAACACTAGGAACAAATATAAGCGTGTAATACCAGTTACTAGACTCCACATAAGTAAGTAAGTAATTCATTTATGAGACAATAAAATGTTTTTTCTGAACCAGTGGTAAATAAAAAAAATACTTTCGATAAGTATTATGGAATAAACTATATTGAATTAAAATTATTCTATTCTATTCGCCTAGTCGTGTGATTGGCAATGGTATAAAAAAGTGGAAGTCCATAATTTGCCTTTTTATAAAAAAAAAATATTAAAACAAATTTTATAAATGCCTTTGGGGCTTAAAAGTTCTCTTGCTATTTTTCAAATTCAGTGAGCAAAAAATAGATGGTTAAATAATGGAACCATACTTTGCTGTGTGGTAGGGGTATAAGAGAATTATACGTGGTAGAGCTACGCTAGAGCTAAGTTATGATTATATCATGAATGTCGGGTCGGCTCGACTGGGTAAGGACCAGGATGTAGGATATATAATGAAATTAAAAGGAAAACTATCGCGGCTAAGTAGAATTAAAAAGTTAACGAGTAATAGTCGACCAATTTATAAAATGCAATTGGATTAGTACAAATTTCGTTACAACTCCATAGAAAATGACCTAAAACTAGCCCCATTAATAACTTTGTAACGTTATTGTAAACTGTTGAAAATAAACATTTATGAAGAAAACGACTTATATGCATTACTTCTATTATCTTTACTTTTTTATTTACGGGATAGATAGGGTATTTGTATCAAAATCGAAAAGCTTTTTAATTTTTTTTGAATACCACTCCCTTATAAGGCTGATTCGAAACTAAGTTCTTCAGTTACGATATTCCTACTTGAGCTCATTTTAGTCGTTATAGCGCTCAAACCGCGAACTCAATTATTATGCTTATTATCAAGGAAGCCCACGTATTGTGACGGGCAACTACAGAACCCTACCTCTGCATTGTGCGTGGCCCGACACGCACTTGGCCAGTTTTTATTATCTTTTAAATTCAGAATCTGTGGTAAATGTATTATTTTAACTAATTGTCATTCATAAGTATCTGATGCCTACTATTTTACACACGCACACATCGGTAAGGGTCGCTTGGTAAGGTACCTTAACGTGCGTCTTCCCGCTCCCTTCCCTTCAGTTTACCGTTACAGCGCTAAGTACCTACGCCCGCTCGCCCGGCCAACAGCTGACAGTGTTGACTATGAACTCATTACATACGCTTCGTAACCAATGACGGCACCAAAATATTTGAACCGCGGATGCTATGAAATGATGGAATGTTGCGATATGGAAATTTTAAGCAATGAAAGTTTACGTGGTGTGCAAAGATTATACAAAAGTGAGTTTTTTCTCGGTAAACTATTAACATACGTGTACCTACCAATCGAGGAACAAATAACAGCTAACCAAACTATTCAAGCGCAGCTTAAATAGTGCATATGAAGGTGAAGGAAAGGTGGATTACGTACAGAGGCCCTATACTATGCTCTGCAAACTCGCCGGAACGTTCAACGTTAGTCTGTGGGGTGAAATAAAGAGTTGTGTTTACATCAAAGAGATCCAAAGTTTGAAGACAGCCACAGTAAAATTATTGCTGCGTACACAGCAGTTAAAAGTGCCCAAGCACAGGTAATAAGTGAAAAAAATAATTTTAGAATACGTGCACGTCTGCATAGACGAGCACGTTTTCTAAAATTAAGCCGGAAACTTTTATATGCATAAAAGTGTGGCTGCACGGCCCTAGATTTTTTACCGTTCAGCAATCTTCGGCAGCTCTCGGCTGAGCCGGAGCAACCGGCTCCGTTTTCCCCGCCCCGCCAGTCAAGACGATCCGACCTTCCGACGCCGTGAGGCCGATCGTTCGTGCTCCGATCCGCTACTTTACGTTGTGGATAAATGGTTATTGAATGTGCAGTGTGTTCGTTATTCACTTTCCTACAAGAAAAACGAATTCCATTTTGAAGTACCAATATTAGATATTGGGACTACTTGCGTAATTTAGTTGTAAATAGTTTATTCCATTTTTTTAATAAACGCCATAATAATAATAATCGTCGGTTACGTCACTGATAAGCAAAAATATGTTTTTTAATTTTATTTATTATGACGATCGTAAGCCCGTTAAGAGTGTGAAGGGAAAATCGGAATCATAATTGACGTTAATTATTTGTAAGCGTGTCACTAAGAAAGTAAGCAGTAGGCAAGAATTTGAGAAACGAAAACGTGAATTGAATCACACACATAAGAGCGCCCGTAAGCATAGTCGTTGCCCATAAATCACATTCAGTGACGGATAATTTCAAATAAAAGTAGATGCCATATTTAGTCGTATTTGCAAAAAATGTAATATCGGTATAAAATAATGTATTTATTTGAAATTAAATATAAAATTTGACTACTCTTTGAACAATGTCCCTGTATAATATAGTAATAATAATAAATACTTTTTATTTCTCTAAAATTATTTATGCATGCATTTGGGACGCCCCAGAAAGTTATTTGCATACTTGTATTGAGGATGCATTTTACAATTTTATAAGATTTAAAAGTAAATTATTAATAAAGAAAAAGTTAATTACAATGAAAAGTTAAGCTTAATAAACTTAACATAAATAACTTGTGATTGTGTGTATGTGTGAAAGCGTGAGTATGCATGTGTATGTAAGTCCATGTGTGTGTGTGTGTGTGGTTGAGTCGCTCTACCTATGCGTCTCACATTTCGTCGTACATACATTTAAGCTATAACTTTAATTTATTGATCTAGCACAGGCGTGGATTGGGGTGGCGTACGAAGAGAATGGTTCTCGCTGGTGTGCGCGCAACTGTTCGATGCCAAGTTCGGCCTGTTCGTGCCGTTCCGAGACTCACCCACCGCGCTGGTGCACCCCAATCCGGACCGCCCGCCACATCTTAAGGTAAACATGCTGCTGTACTAAAGGTTCTTACTGAGGTATATCTGTAGGAGTAGGTATAGGTTTATCCTACCTACTAACCTTACCTGCATGCGATGCATTTTCTGTATAACAGAAGAGGCAATAACAACCAACTGATAGTTGAAATCACACTTGTAATATACTCAACCTAGAAGTCCATTAGACCGGCATCAGCACTACACTGACCAAACCGCCTGCCCAACGTGGTGAATACGTGCAATGCTTTAAGGAATGTTTGCTCGCTAGCACATTCTTGGAAAGGTATTCAGGACGTCTGAAGAAGTGAAGAAGTTTTCATACACCACTCAAACTCTGGTATATATAGGTAAGTTTTGTGATGATATGATTTAACATCCCATTTATTAAAAAAAAATATCAGTGTCCTCAATTGTTTTATCATCATGAGTCAGTATAAGTCAACAACTGGTCTTGAGCCTCTCTAGTTGTAAGGATGATTTACCTTAATTGCTAGGTCCGGTAGACGGATTAACGATCACAGAATACCAGCGTAAAATAGCAGCTCAAAGCTGCCGTGTTTCGTATGGTGAGTGTGAGCCGGAGACCCTTTTTGATGGAAACGAGGCATTACATCTTAGTACCCAGGGGTGATAACGTATCTGCATTTTGATTCTTAATCGAGGGTAGACGTAGATATCTATGGGCTACAGAATCCACTTACCATCTGGTGTACAGTGGGCTCGTTTGTCACCAATGTACTATAAAAAAAAAGATCACAGTACCAGACGTCCCACACGTCCTGTTTTTTATCGGAAGGAAGATTTTTTTAGTATCTCCAATCTCCTCTTTTGACTCCCATGGGACGAAATGCTGTGATGGATTCTAAGGCAACCGTGAATAGTCCCCATTAAGAATGAAGCTTTGCGTGATCTTCCTCCTCACTCCAATGATAATCTTTTTATTTATAATCCTTTAAAATTTAGTGCTGGACATAGGCTTTTTTCACATTATGCTAGGCAGGCGAATCTCCACAAAATTAAAATTTACTACTAAAACATCTAAAATTTTAAAAAATTGAAATTCTTTTTCCACGCTGTAAGTTTGAAGGATTACTGTTTAACACACTTTTATTAACTACGCGTGTATCTATCTATCTATGTAACGGAATCTTTTAATGTAATTTTTACCAACTTGTAAACGGCCGATTAGACTTCAAAATTTGCACTCGTACGGACCGATGACAGTACAATAATTTAACTTATTTCACTATATTCTAGTATCCTGATCAGGATCACCAGAATAATTTTAAAAAAATATTATCACCTAGTATTCTCACTAAAATCATAATAGCCAATGATCAATGCGTGTTGTAAGTTTTAAAAATGAATATTATTTTAATATGCAGCTGAAGCACTTCGAGTTTGCGGGCAAGCTGGTGGGCAAGTGCTTATACGAATCTGCGCTTGGTGGCTCGTACCGGCAGCTAGTGCGTGCGCGCCTCACGAGATCTTTCCTCGCGCAGATAATTGGCCTGCGAGTACACTATAAGGTGATATTCTATGTGTGTGTGTGTGTGTGTGTCTCGCTGCTTGCGTGTTGACAGACTTCACGTGCCAACGCAACGCAACTCACTATGTTTTCCTTCACTAAGCACGTGGTATATCAACACTTAAAAACGCGATAAGGTGATTCCAGTCCGTGAATTCCACAGCTTCATTTAGATTAGATACTTATATGAAAATAATTGACAAAGTTATGTTTTTAAATTTGAATTTGACAAAAAAATCTCAAGAATCTATTCTTTAAATATATTTTTATTTTATTTTTTTTTTACTAAGCGGCTAGAAACCTTAATATTATTATTGTAAACTTTGTTTTGGTTGTTCAAAAATTCATTCACATTTTAATTGAAGTACTTCAATCTCAAACGACAGTCAATTAATTTTGACAATGTAAGTAATACTCTATCGAAATTAGTACATTGGTTTAACGCGAACAGTTTGCTCCTATACGGCAATAAAACAAAATGTATTAAATTTACAATACCTAATGTTAAACATTCTAATACCAATGCGCTCTTAAATGGGGAGGAGTTGAGTCTTTTTCTTGGTAATTAATATTGACGCGAAACTTCAATGGGGCCCCCATATATCTAAATTAGCAGGCAGACTTAGTTCTGCAGCATATCCTGTAAGAAAGATTAGAAGTCTCACCAAGGTTGAGACAGCTAGATTAGTTTATTTTAGTTTCTTTCATAGCGTGATGTCTTATGGAATTTTGTTATGGGGTAATGCGACTGACACTAAAGCCATATTTGTTTTTGCAAAAGTGAGCCTTACAGGCGATTTATAACTTAAACTGTAACGAGGTCCTTAGAGAAAAATTTAAAGAAATAAACATATTAATTTTGACATCGTAATATATTTATGAATATGTAATGTATGTACATAAAAACATAAATAGCTTTAATAAGAATAAAGATGTTAATACTTTAAACACTAGGAACAAACATAAGCTTGTAATATCAGTCACTAGACTCCACAAAATTAGTAATTGATTTAAAGAGCAAATCGATACGCTTTTACAACAAAATGAACCAGAACATATTCAAGGTTTGTCAATAAACAAGTTTAAAAGTTTTATTAAAGAAAAAAATGTCCAAAAAGGGTTATTATAATATCAAAGAATACACAAATGAACATAACCCCTGGGAATGAGGTGGTCGCCACCATGCTCGTTCTATTAAAATTCATTTAAATTTATACAAAAAAATTTATTGTAAAGTGAAATATGTATAATTTATATTAATATGGATTTCTTGCTGGTTCTTCCCAAGACAGAGGTATTTTCCGAACCAGTAGTAAATAAAAAAAATACTTTAAATAAGTATTATGTAGTAATCTATATTGAATGAAAATTATTCTATTCTATTCTATAATTTAATTGTAGAAACATGTATATTTTATATACTGATATATGATTCTTTACAGTATTTCGAGCAAGATGATCCAGAGCTGTACCTGTCCAAGATCAAGTATGTGCTGGATACTGACTTGGACGCTGAGGATGCTCTCGAGTTGACATTCTCAGAAGACGTTTATGATTCTAGCGGGCACCTGGTCGAGACACATGACCTTGTGCCTAATGGTTCGTCGATAAGGGTGAATATTACTTTATTATTAAATCAAATTGACCCAATATTTTTTCTTATTTAATGTTGAAATTGTTACATGAAATTGTTTCACTTTAATTCTATACGTGATGCAGCCATAAGCTGCTATACATTGGTTAAGCAATAAGCTCTAAATTAATTAATTAATGAATAAATAAAAGGTAATGAATGAATGAAGAGTTATGAATAAATGAATGAATGAAAAGTAGTGGATGAATAAATGAAGAATGAAAGTAATGAATGAATAATGCGTGAAAGGAATGAAGAACTGAAAGTCCAAGAAGTGGAAATAAGACTTTACTCTTCAGTTAGTGGTAGCAATGTGCCTGAATTTAGTTCCCATATTCGCCTTTTGCGACACCCACGGGACGGAATGTGGTGATGGATTCTCTTACGCCTCCACACCTCGGCTTAGGGTTGTATGTCTTGTAGTGAGTGGTAAACGGTATACATGGCAGGAAAAGACTTTGGACTTTTGTAGAACAAAAACTGTGTCACAGCTGTCTTGGCGCGGGCGGGTAACTGGCACGGTGAACATGACACGCAGTTGTATTTTTATTTACGACATTTACAGTTTTATAGTAAATATAGTTACATACTTATCTGAAAAAAAAACTTGTAATTTCCCGGTCAAACCGACCGATTCGTGCGCTGCAACCATAATATACAGGTGTTTAGAAGGTTGATGGAAAGCCTTAAGGGAGGAACAGGTCACCTCGTGGGGTGCATTTTTGAGCAGTTCACCCGATTAGTCTTAGAATTTCTAGTAATTGTGAATGAAAAAAGCATGTCCACATTGGAAGAAACAACTTTATTTCCAAGAAAATTTTCAGTAAATATGTGGGCAGGTGTGATTGGCCGCCATTTGATTATTTTTTTTATTTTATTTATTTAAAAAATTTATGGAGTGTAGAGAGAAGGAGGACCATCTGTATACTATGAAAAGTGTCCCTAAAAACGTGTTCAATAAGGGTGGCGCTGCAGTAGCATAGGATAAATTTTAAAAAAAAGCGCCAAAAGTAATTAGAGTAAGATGGAGAAATAAATAAGGACCTACCAATCCGCTTGGTTTTGTACTACGTAAATAGTTGAGATTTTGTATAATGGCGTTTTACTAACTACTCTAGTCATGAAATATTTGAATTCAGCTGACTTCACTCCGTCCATAACAGCTATCTTCATATCGTAGTTTTTCAAACGCCAGCGCTATTGTGGTAGGTTTTGGAACCTCTATTTTCAGTAAATAGTAGGACACTTTTTCAACTTTCGCCCCTTATAAGATGGTTCTCCTTGTACTCTACACTCCATACTATAATTGTTACAATTTAACATACTAAATCTAAATGCATAATAAAGTCTTATACTAATTGCACAATTACCTACTTACAGGTAAACACCGCTAAACCATAATTATAGTCTTAATTTACATATTATGTTAAGAAAAAAATATATAATTAAAACATTTTAAAACAAAACAACAAAACAACCAGTGATTTAGATATTATGTGTAATAAACATACAAAAAAATAACTTTATTTGAAATTGTATCTAACAAGTACTTGCGAAACTTGTACTAACTTAGGCTTCATCTTCTTACATCGACTTACAGTTTCTTGAAAATAATTTGCCCAACCCACTAGAGGAAGTGTCAATAATATAAACTGTCACAGAAATAATTTTTCAAAATAATGGCTGCCAAACGTACTACCAAGTTACAGTCGGGGAACATCTAGATAATTGTTTTCTTAACAGTTGGTCTGGAAAGTGAGGGCTATGAATGGGAGTCCTGTCCCGTCGCCGGATTTTACCACTATAGATTTTCATGTCTGGGGTCTGGGGTCGAAAAAGCTGAAGCACAGTTTGAACATGATAATAAATGATTTAATCATAAACAATGTTTTATTTATAAACCTATTTAAAAAATACCACCGAAACTTTTTATGAAACCGTATTTCGAGTTGGTTTAGGTACTCTAGTTTTGTGAAATAGGCAGGTATCTTCATGTACGATAACGGAAAGAAACATGTATAGTCTGTACGGATAAAGAACGGGATTAGAAATGGCGGCTCATTGAGCCCGTACCGTCAACATGGACAGTAACAATAGCGAAAACACGCTAATAACGGTATATCGCTATAAAGATATATTATTCGGTTAATTAGAAATTTTCTTTAATGGGAAAATATTTCAAAAGAATTGTAAACGCAGTTAGGTAGGTACATTAATTTTAAAATAGTATTAATAACTAGCTACCCGCTGTATCTTCGCCTGTGTGAGATCTAATTGACGACAATTGGCATATTATTTGACAAAAATGAGATTGACTTTATTATGACCACCAGACAGTAACTGTTTAGTGATATTTCAGTGATCGCGAGGGTAAAAACTGGCAGCAATCACCGAATGGTGAGAGGCACACTAAACCTAAACCATACTCTAATCCAACGCTCCGAAAACTTTCAGCTCGAGTTAAAAAACCGTTTTCAGTGCCTAGAAGACTGCAATGAAGTGGAAGATATGAATGACAAGCTTGTGGAAACTGTCCATGCGGTCGGAACTAAGTTCTGCAAGACCCGCCGCAGAAGGACACAAAACCTCTCCAATCACACTTAATCTCATGGCTGCTAGGCGGGAAATGAAGCTGAAGTCTTCAACAGATTCGACAACATACATGCAACTGCACAGAACGATCCACAAATGCATGCGGTGGGACTTACGCAACTTCAATACAGCTTGTATTGAATAAGAGATCGACGGGAACCAGGGCTCCAAAGTATTTACCAGAAACACACACACACATTTTGGGTGAGATTGAAAGGTTCTATGGGTAGCTGTACGCGTAATCGTTAGAGCCACACGCAAGTGTGAGTAACGATCCAAGAACAAGTCTTATCCGACACTATTTCGATGAAATTCCGGACGTCAGTCTAATTTTGGAAACAAATATAGAAAAGATGAGCGAGATTAGAATGGTTCTCTAGCACCTTACAATTGACAAGGCCCCGGGTTAGAATGGAATAGAATAGAATAGAATAGAATAATTTTTAATTCAATATAGATCACATGTGTAATTCTTATTGGAAGTCATTTTTTACTTTACCACTGGTTCGAAAAAAAAACCTCTGTCCTGGGAAGAACCAGCAAGAAACCCAGCGAGACTTTTTTTTAAGCATATTTTACAATAATGATTGGTAAATACAAAATTTATTTTAGAAACAGCTTGGAAGCGACCACTTCATTCCCAGGGGTATGTATGTATTCATTTATACTATAATAGACTTATAATAGAGAGAGCCTTTAACTTTCCGGGACTTTCCGGGAATTACAGTGGAGCTTCTGAAACCGGGTGGAAACCAGTACTTGAAGTCCTTCAGAAACTCTTTAATTCATTTCTCCTTTGTGGCATTACTCCGGAGGCGTAGAGCAGAAGTGTGGTGGTCTTGTTCTTCACGAAAGGCGACAACGCTCTCTTGAAGAATTACAGACCGATTTCCCTTCTGAGCCGCGTCTACGTGCTAATTTTGAGAGTCATTACGAATTGTCTCACACGCAGATTTATTGACTTCCAGACTACCAAACAAGCGGTTTCTGATAAGGCTTTAGCACCATAGATCACATAAATAGGATCTTCAGAAAATTGTACAGAAGATCGAAGAGTACAATCTGCCACTATGTCTCGCGTCCACATGACTATGAGAAAGCCTTTGATTGTGGAAGACCTAAGACACTATGCTCAATGACCTCAATAGGTACCCAACGGATAGGTCTTAATATGAACTTGGACAAAACAAAGATCATGTGTAATGTCCATGTCACACCTATGCCGATAGTTATTGGGAGCACGCTCGAACTTGTTGACGAGTTTGTTTACCTGGGACAAATAGTCCGACTAGATAAGTCCTCCTTCGACCGAGAGGTCAATCAACGGATTAAAATGGTTGGGCAGCGTTCGGGAGACATCTTCTCGTCACGTATACCTCAAAAATTAAAACGAGATTGTACAACCAGTGCGTGTTGCCAGTGAACACTTATGGATCTGAGACATGGTCCCTTATTGCTGGTCGTATGAGGAAGCTCAAGGTCGCTCAGTGAGCTGTGGAAAGGGCTATGCTCGAGGTTTCTCTGCTTAATAAATTTAGAAATGAGGATACTCGCAGTAGAACCAGAGTAACTGACATAGCCCAACGGATTAGTAAGCTGAAGTGGTAATGGGCCGGCTACATAGCTAGAAGAACCGACAACCGATGGGGATGAAAGGTTCTTGAGTGGCAGCCTCGTACCAGCAGGCGAAGTGTAGGACGTTCTACCATTAGATGAAGTGACGATCTGGTGAACGACGATGATGACGACATGTAGGAAGTCGATGGATGCAGGTTGCTCTGGACCGTGCATTATGGCATTCCTTGGGGGAAGCCTATATTCAGCAGTGGACATGTAAAGTGCTTTATTCATTGATCGATGAAATAAAATTCGAAAAAAAATCCATTCCAAAACTTTCTTTTTCCTTTAATAATTTTTGCTAATGTTTGTGGCCAGTACGTACGACATTTACAACAGGAGAGATCACACCTTTTTTGTGTATCTCTAAATTTGTCCATGAGTGTAGGAGTAGAAGTGTTTGTATGCAGGTGAACAACAGCAATAAGACGCAGTACCTGGAGGCGCTGGCGCAGTGGCGGCTGGCGGCGCGCGTTCGTCTTGAGTTGGCCGCCTTCCTGCGTGGCCTGCAGCTGCTCGTGCCTCACCACCTGCTCGCAATCTTCGACGAGAATGAGCTCGAGGTGACCCCGGCACACGCACATCTATTCACCCGCACAATACACATACACATTGACATCCCAAAAGTATTTATATAAAAATAATAAAGAGTAATGGTCCCAATACAGTTCCTTGGGGCACATCCATAATAAAAGATGCTCCAGAAGATCAGATACATTTATAACAGCTTTTTGCAACCGTTCGGACAGGTGTGATTGTATAATATTTAAAGCGTTTATTAAGATAACATAATGTTTAATAGTGTACCATGATTTACGCAATCGAACGCCTTAAATAAGGTCACAAAAGATTTTTTTGAATTTTATTTTCTGAACAAATCAAATTGTACACGCCCGTAACTGCCCCCACAAAGGTAGACTGACTAGGGCCCATCAGTAGTCCAATCGACGGGCAGCAGAGGACGGGGCCCAACGGCCTATGGAGACTTATTATTCTACACAATAGATATAAGGCTAGGTAAATAAATAGTACGTACCTGGTTCCGAAGCTAAGACTGCACCAAGGCTCGGTCAGGCGGTAGGTAGGTGTAGGTGCATGTAAGTAGTGTGTAGTAGTGTTTATATATGTAACCTGACGGCCCGATTTAATCGGACAGAGAATCCACCGGAGCTGATGTTCTCCCAATTTTTTTTTTATATAGGAGAGGGGGCAAACGAGCATGCGGCTCACCTGATGGTAAGTGACTACCGCCGCCCATGAACAACTGCAACACCAGGGGAATCGCAGATGCGTTGCCGGCCTCCCAATGCGCGCTCCCTCCAGTCGTGAATCACCCATGGAAAATTTCTGCCTTCATTTCACTATTTCAGTCTATCAACTTTATTGTACACTATTTCAATCCATCAACTTTGTTGTACATTTAATTGACTTCAAACCCAACTAAATTCAACGTTCATCGAAATCAAACACGTGACACCCGACACAAGTAACGAACAGTTGTTCAAAGTTCAATATTCAATGTTCCGGATTCATTTAGCACCAAATTACAAACAGGGAACGAACGCGATCTCTTCTCGAGTCACAAAGTTTAGCGTTACAAACAACAAACTAAATTCCTTCGTACGATATTAAATACTACGTCCGCAATAAGAACTTAAAATCAGCCTAGCTGACACGCAAACTAACTACATAGTCAACACACAAAAGGCACTTAACGCGACGTTACAACTTTAACTTCCAAAAACAATTAACCGGGCCACGCCCTCGAAATGGAATGCGAGCATCAAATTCCAGGCCGTATGTCCACTCGGTGTGCGCGCAAGGTTCCACGTCACACAAGCAAGTTAAATATTGCAAAATGCACTTCAACATGCAATCACTATACAATTGACGTAATTACTTGCAAACGAAATTACTTTAACCAGTCAAATTCAATACAAGCCTCTTGTCACGAAACGTATAACTTAAACAAACTAATTCGAGGCGGTCTACACGAAACCTAAATTCAATAGCAAATTAAACGCGCACAAATACTCAAATTCTAGACCACAAAACCAAAAAACTGGTCGCGCGAAACTGATGCAGCGGTCACAAAAATTCGCTAATCGACAGCGTCGCTGCTGTCAAGCTACTGACTTCGCACTCGCGTTCTACGCTCGCGCCCTTTGCCGAGCGACCCACACGGGAGTGGGGCGACGGTGACCTTTACAAAGTCAGCAGTAGGACACGAGTGTTGAATGCAAATTTCAAATGTTAATTGTTTGGCCTAAACACAAATGTTTATTTGATGTTCGAAGGAAGACTAGAAACTAATTAAAACCTTAATTGCCTCAATTGGTATGGATCACGTACAATCGGCCCTACTTTATACATTAGACGCTGATGTGTGCTTGTGTGCTGGTGCTGGTGGCAGCTGCTGGTGTGCGGCACGGGCGAGCTGTGCGCGGCGGACTGGCGCGCGCACGCGCTGGTGGCGGGCGCGGGGCGCGACTGGCAGCGCCGCCTGGCCTGGTTCTGGGCCGCGCTCGCCAGCCTCAGCGGCGAGGAGCGCGCGCGCCTGCTGCAGTTCTGCACCGGCTGCTCGCAGCTGCCGCCCGGCGGCTTCCAGGTGAGCGGCACTGCACCAGTGCACCAGTGCACCAGTGCCCCGGCCGCCGGCCTGGTTCTGGGCCGCGCTCGCCAGCCTCAGCGGCGAGGAGCGCGCGCGCCTGCTGCAGTTCTGCACCGGCTGCTCGCAGCTGCCGCCCGGCGGCTTCCAGGTGAGCGGCACTGCACCAGTGCACCAGTGCACCAGTGCCCCGGCCGCCGGCCTGGTTCTGGGCCGCGCTCGCCAGCCTCAGCGGCGAGGAGCGCGCGCGCCTGCTGCAGTTCTGCACCGGCTGCTCGCAGCTGCCGCCCGGCGGCTTCCAGGTGAGCGGCACTGCACCAGTGCACCAGTGCACCAGTGCCCCGGCCGCCGGCCTGGTTCTGGGCCGCGCTCGCCAGCCTCAGCGGCGAGGAGCGCGCGCGCCTGCTGCAGTTCTGCACCGGCTGCTCGCAGCTGCCGCCCGGCGGCTTCCAGGTGAGCGGCACTGCACCAGTGCACCAGTGCACCAGTGCCCCGGCCGCCGGCCTGGTTCTGGGCCGCGCTCGCCAGCCTCAGCGGCGAGGAGCGCGCGCGCCTGCTGCAGTTCTGCACCGGCTGCTCGCAGCTGCCGCCCGGCGGCTTCCAGGTGAGCGGCACTGCACCAGTGCACCAGTGCACCAGTGCCCCGGCCGCCGGCCTGGTTCTGGGCCGCGCTCGCCAGCCTCAGCGGCGAGGAGCGCGCGCGCCTGCTGCAGTTCTGCACCGGCTGCTCGCAGCTGCCGCCCGGCGGCTTCCAGGTGAGCGGCACTGCACCAGTGCACCAGTGCACCAGTGCCCCGGCCGCCGGCCTGGTTCTGGGCCGCGCTCGCCAGCCTCAGCGGCGAGGAGCGCGCGCGCCTGCTGCAGTTCTGCACCGGCTGCTCGCAGCTGCCGCCCGGCGGCTTCCAGGTGAGCGGCACTGCACCAGTGCACCAGTGCACCAGTGCCCCGGCCGCCGGCCTGGTTCTGGGCCGCGCTCGCCAGCCTCAGCGGCGAGGAGCGCGCGCGCCTGCTGCAGTTCTGCACCGGCTGCTCGCAGCTGCCGCCCGGCGGCTTCCAGGTGAGCGGCACTGCACCAGTGCACCAGTGCACCAGTGCCCCGGCCGCCGGCCTGGTTCTGGGCCGCGCTCGCCAGCCTCAGCGGCGAGGAGCGCGCGCGCCTGCTGCAGTTCTGCACCGGCTGCTCGCAGCTGCCGCCCGGCGGCTTCCAGGTGAGCGGCACTGCACCAGTGCACCAGTGCACCAGTGCCCCGGCCGCCGGCCTGGTTCTGGGCCGCGCTCGCCAGCCTCAGCGGCGAGGAGCGCGCGCGCCTGCTGCAGTTCTGCACCGGCTGCTCGCAGCTGCCGCCCGGCGGCTTCCAGGTGAGCGGCACTGCACCAGTGCACCAGTGCACCAGTGCCCCGGCCGCCGGCCTGGTTCTGGGCCGCGCTCGCCAGCCTCAGCGGCGAGGAGCGCGCGCGCCTGCTGCAGTTCTGCACCGGCTGCTCGCAGCTGCCGCCCGGCGGCTTCCAGGTGAGCGGCACTGCACCAGTGCACCAGTGCACCAGTGCCCCGGCCGCCGGCCTGGTTTGGGCCGCGCTCGCCAGCCTCAGCGGCGAGGAGCGCGCGCGCCTGCTGCAGTTCTGCACCGGCTGCTCGCAGCTGCCGCCCGGCGGCTTCCAGGTGAGCGGCACTGCACCAGTGCACCAGTGCACCAGTGCCCCGGCCGCCGGCCTGGTTCTGGGCCGCGCTCGCCAGCCTCAGCGGCGAGGAGCGCGCGCGCCTGCTGCAGTTCTGCACCGGCTGCTCGCAGCTGCCGCCCGGCGGCTTCCAGGTGAGCGGCACTGCACCAGTGCACCAGTGCACCAGTGCCCCGGCCGCCGGCCTGGTTCTGGGCCGCGCTCGCCAGCCTCAGCGGCGAGGAGCGCGCGCGCCTGCTGCAGTTCTGCACCGGCTGCTCGCAGCTGCCGCCCGGCGGCTTCCAGGTGAGCGGCACTGCACCAGTGCACCAGTGCACCAGTGCCCCGGCCGCCGGCCTGGTTCTGGGCCGCGCTCGCCAGCCTCAGCGGCGAGGAGCGCGCGCGCCTGCTGCAGTTCTGCACCGGCTGCTCGCAGCTGCCGCCCGGCGGCTTCCAGGTGAGCGGCACTGCACCAGTGCACCAGTGCACCAGTGCCCCGGCCGCCGGCCTGGTTCTGGGCCGCGCTCGCCAGCCTCAGCGGCGAGGAGCGCGCGCGCCTGCTGCAGTTCTGCACCGGCTGCTCGCAGCTGCCGCCCGGCGGCTTCCAGGTGAGCGGCACTGCACCAGTGCACCAGTGCACCAGTGCCCCGGCCGCCGGCCTGGTTCTGGGCCGCGCTCGCCAGCCTCAGCGGCGAGGAGCGCGCGCGCCTGCTGCAGTTCTGCACCGGCTGCTCGCAGCTGCCGCCCGGCGGCTTCCAGGTGAGCGGCACTGCACCAGTGCACCAGTGCACCAGTGCACCAGTGCCCCGGCCGCCGGCCTGGTTCTGGGCCGCGCTCGCCAGCCTCAGCGGCGAGGAGCGCGCGCGCCTGCTGCAGTTCTGCACCGGCTGCTCGCAGCTGCCGCCCGGCGGCTTCCAGGTGAGCGGCACTGCACCAGTGCACCAGTGCACCAGTGCCCCGGCCGCCGGCCTGGTTCTGGGCCGCGCTCGCCAGCCTCAGCGGCGAGGAGCGCGCGCGCCTGCTGCAGTTCTGCACCGGCTGCTCGCAGCTGCCGCCCGGCGGCTTCCAGGTGAGCGGCACTGCACCAGTGCACCAGTGCACCAGTGCCCCGGCCGCCGGCCTGGTTCTGGGCCGCGCTCGCCAGCCTCAGCGGCGAGGAGCGCGCGCGCCTGCTGCAGTTCTGCACCGGCTGCTCGTAGCTGCCGCCCGGCGGCTTCCAGGTGAGCGGCACTGCACCAGTGCACCAGTGCACCAGTGCCCCGGCCGCCGGCCTGGTTCTGGGCCGCGCTCGCCAGCCTCAGCGGCGAGGAGCGCGCACGCCTGCTGCAGTTCTGCACCGGCTGCTCGCAGCTGCCGCCCGGCGGCTTCCAGGTGAGCGGCACTGCACCAGTGCACCAGTGCACCAGTGCACCAATGCCCCGGCCGCCGGCCTGGTTCTGGGCCGCGCTCGCCAGCCTCAGCGGCGAGGAGCGCGCGCGCCTGCTGCAGTTCTGCACCGGCTGCTCGCAGCTGCCGCCCGGCGGCTTCCAGGTGAGCGGCACTGCACCAGTGCACCAGTGCACCAGTGCCCCGGCCGCCGGCCTGGTTCTGGGCCGCGCTCGCCAGCCTCAGCGGCGAGGAGCGCGCGCGCCTGCTGCAGTTCTGCACCGGCTGCCCGCAGCTGCCGCCCGGCGGCTTCCAGGTGAGCGACACTGCACCAGTGCACCAGTGCACCAGTGCACCAGTGCCCCGGCCGCCGGCCTGGTTCTGGGCCGCGCTCGCCAGCCTCAGCGGCGAGGAGCGCGCGCGCCTGCTGCAGTTCTGCACCGGCTGCTCGCAGCTGCCGCCCGGCGGCTTCCAGGTGAGCGGCACTGCACCAGTGCACCAGTGCACCAGTGCACCAGTGCCCCGGCCGCCGGCCTGGTTCTGGGCCGCGCTCGCCAGCCTCAGCGGCGAGGAGCGCGCGCGCCTGCTGCAGTTCTGCACCGGCTGCTCGCAGCTGCCGCCCGGCGGCTTCCAGGTGAGCGGCACTGCACCAGTGCACCAGTGCACCAGTGCCCCGGCCGCCGGCCTGGTTCTGGGCCGCGCTCGCCAGCCTCAGCGGCGAGGAGCGCGCGCGCCTGCTGCAGTTCTGCACCGGCTGCTCGCAGCTGCCGCCCGGCGGCTTCCAGGTGAGCGGCACTGCACCAGTGCACCAGTGCACCAGTGCCCCGGCCGCCGGCCTGGTTCTGGGCCGCGCTCGCCAGCCTCAGCGGCGAGGAGCGCGCGCGCCTGCTGCAGTTCTGCACCGGCTGCTCGCAGCTGCCGCCCGGCGGCTTCCAGGTGAGCGGCACTGCACCAGTGCACCAGTGCACCAGTGCACCAGTGCCCCGGCCGCCGGCCTGGTTCTGGGCCGCGCTCGCCAGCCTCAGCGGCGAGGAGCGCGCGCGCCTGCTGCAGTTCTGCACCGGCTGCTCGCAGCTGCCGCCCGGCGGCTTCCAGGTGAGCGGCACTGCACCAGTGCACCAGTGCACCAGTGCCCCGGCCGCCGGCCTGGTTCTGGGCCGCGCTCGCCAGCCTCAGCGGCGAGGAGCGCGCGCGCCTGCTGCAGTTCTGCACCGGCTGCTCGCAGCTGCCGCCCGGCGGCTTCCAGGTGAGCGGCACTGCACCAGTGCACCAGTGCACCAGTGCCCCGGCCGCCGGCCTGGTTCTGGGCCGCGCTCGCCAGCCTCAGCGGCGAGGAGCGCGCGCGCCTGCTGCAGTTCTGCACCGGCTGCTCGCAGCTGCCGCCCGGCGGCTTCCAGGTGAGCGGCACTGCACCAGTGCACCAGTGCCCCGGCCGCCGGCCTGGTTCTGGGCCGCGCTCGCCAGCCTCAGCGGCGAGGAGCGCGCGCGCCTGCTGCAGTTCTGCACCGGCTGCTCGCAGCTGCCGCCCGGCGGCTTCCAGGTGAGCGGCACTGCACCAGTGCACCAGTGCACCAGTGCACCAGTGCCCCGGCCGCCGGCCTGGTTCTGGGCCGCGCTCGCCAGCCTCAGCGGCGAGGAGCGCGCGCGCCTGCTGCAGTTCTGCACCGGCTGCTCGCAGCTGCCGCCCGGCGGCTTCCAGGTGAGCGGCACTGCACCAGTGCACCAGTGCACCAGTGCCCCGGCCGCCGGCCTGGTTCTGGGCCGCGCTCGCCAGCCTCAGCGGCGAGGAGCGCGCGCGCCTGCTGCAGTTCTGCACCGGCTGCTCGCAGCTGCCGCCCGGCGGCTTCCAGGTGAGCGGCACTGCACCAGTGCACCAGTGCACCAGTGCCCCGGCCGCCGGCCTGGTTCTGGGCCGCGCTCGCCAGCCTCAGCGGCGAGGAGCGCGCGCGCCTGCTGCAGTTCTGCACCGGCTGCTCGTAGCTGCCGCCCGGCGGCTTCCAGGTGAGCGGCACTGCACCAGTGCACCAGTGCACCAGTGCCCCGGCCGCCGGCCTGGTTCTGGGCCGCGCTCGCCAGCCTCAGCGGCGAGGAGCGCGCACGCCTGCTGCAGTTCTGCACCGGCTGCTCGCAGCTGCCGCCCGGCGGCTTCCAGGTGAGCGGCACTGCACCAGTGCACCAGTGCACCAGTGCACCAATGCCCCGGCCGCCGGCCTGGTTCTGGGCCGCGCTCGCCAGCCTCAGCGGCGAGGAGCGCGCGCGCCTGCTGCAGTTCTGCACCGGCTGCTCGCAGCTGCCGCCCGGCGGCTTCCAGGTGAGCGGCACTGCACCAGTGCACCAGTGCACCAGTGCCCCGGCCGCCGGCCTGGTTCTGGGCCGCGCTCGCCAGCCTCAGCGGCGAGGAGCGCGCGCGCCTGCTGCAGTTCTGCACCGGCTGCTCGCAGCTGCCGCCCGGCGGCTTCCAGGTGAGCGACACTGCACCAGTGCACCAGTGCACCAGTGCCCCGGCCGCCGGCCTGGTTCTGGGCCGCGCTCGCCAGCCTCAGCGGCGAGGAGCGCGCGCGCCTGCTGCAGTTCTGCACCGGCTGCTCGCAGCTGCCGCCCGGCGGCTTCCAGGTGAGCGGCACTGCACCAGTGCACCAGTGCACCAGTGCCCCGGCCGCCGGCCTGGTTCTGGGCCGCGCTCGCCAGCCTCAGCGGCGAGGAGCGCGCGCGCCTGCTGCAGTTCTGCACCGGCTGCTCGCAGCTGCCGCCCGGCGGCTTCCAGGTGAGCGGCACTGCACCAGTGCACCAGTGCACCAGTGCACCAGTGCCCCGGCCGCCGGCCTGGTTCTGGGCCGCGCTCGCCAGCCTCAGCGGCGAGGAGCGCGCGCGCCTGCTGCAGTTCTGCACCGGCTGCTCGCAGCTGCCGCCCGGCGGCTTCCAGGTGAGCGGCACTGCACCAGTGCACCAGTGCACCAGTGCACCAGTGCCCCGGCCGCCGGCCTGGTTCTGGGCCGCGCTCGCCAGCCTCAGCGGCGAGGAGCGCGCGCGCCTGCTGCAGTTCTGCACCGGCTGCTCGCAGCTGCCGCCCGGCGGCTTCCAGGTGAGCGGCACTGCACCAGTGCACCAGTGCACCAGTGCCCCGGCCGCCGGCCTGGTTCTGGGCCGCGCTCGCCAGCCTCAGCGGCGAGGAGCGCGCGCGCCTGCTGCAGTTCTGCACCGGCTGCTCGCAGCTGCCGCCCGGCGGCTTCCAGGTGAGCGGCACTGCACCAGTGCACCAGTGCACCAGTGCCCCGGCCGCCGGCCTGGTTCTGGGCCGCGCTCGCCAGCCTCAGCGGCGAGGAGCGCGCGCGCCTGCTGCAGTTCTGCACCGGCTGCTCGCAGCTGCCGCCCGGCGGCTTCCAGGTGAGCGGCACTGCACCAGTGCACCAGTGCACCAGTGCACCAGTGCCCCGGCCGCCGGCCTGGTTCTGGGCCGCGCTCGCCAGCCTCAGCGGCGAGGAGCGCGCGCGCCTGCTGCAGTTCTGCACCGGCTGCTCGCAGCTGCCGCCCGGCGGCTTCCAGGTGAGCGGCACTGCACCAGTGCACCAGTGCACCAGTGCCCCGGCCGCCGGCCTGGTTCTGGGCCGCGCTCGCCAGCCTCAGCGGCGAGGAGCGCGCGCGCCTGCTGCAGTTCTGCACCGGCTGCTCGCAGCTGCCGCCCGGCGGCTTCCAGGTGAGCGGCACTGCACCAGTGCACCAGTGCACCAGTGCCCCGGCCGCCGGCCTGGTTCTGGGCCGCGCTCGCCAGCCTCAGCGGCGAGGAGCGCGCGCGCCTGCTGCAGTTCTGCACCGGCTGTTCGCAGCTGCCGCCCGGCGGCTTCCAGGTGAGCGGCACTGCACCAGTGCACCAGTGCACCAGTGCCCCGGCCGCCGGCCTGGTTCTGGGCCGCGCTCGCCAGCCTCAGCGGCGAGGAGCGCGCGCGCCTGCTGCAGTTCTGCACCGGCTGCTCGCAGCTGCCGCCCGGCGGCTTCCAGGTGAGCGGCACTGCACCAGTGCACCAGTGCACCAGTGCCCCGGCCGCCGGCCTGGTTCTGGGCCGCGCTCGCCAGCCTCAGCGGCGAGGAGCGCGCGCGCCTGCTGCAGTTCTGCACCGGCTGCTCGCAGCTGCCGCCCGGCGGCTTCCAGGTGAGCGGCACTGCACCAGTGCACCAGTGCACCAGTGCCCCGGCCGCCGGCCTGGTTCTGGGCCGCGCTCGCCAGCCTCAGTGGCGAGGAGCGCGCGCGCCTGCTGCAGTTCTGCACCGGCTGCTCGCAGCTGCCGCCCGGCGGCTTCCAGGTGAGCGGCACTGCACCAGTGCACCAGTGCACCAGTGCCCCGGCCGCCGGCCTGGTTCTGGGCCGCGCTCGCCAGCCTCAGCGGCGAGGAGCGCGCGCGCCTGCTGCAGTTCTGCACCGGCTGCTCGCAGCTGCCGCCCAGCGGCTTCCAGGTGAGCGGCACTGCACCAGTGCACCAGTGCACCAGTGCCCCGGCCGCCGGCCTGGTTCTGGGCCGCGCTCGCCAGCCTCAGCGGCGAGGAGCGCGCGCGCCTGCTGCAGTTCTGCACCGGCTGCTCGCAGCTGCCGCCCGGCGGCTTCCAGGTGAGCGGCACTGCACCAGTGCACCAGTGCACCAGTGCCCCGGCCGCCGGCCTGGTTCTGGGCCGCGCTCGCCAGCCTCAGCGGCGAGGAGCGCGCGCGCCTGCTGCAGTTCTGCACCGGCTGCTCGCAGCTGCCGCCCGGCGGCTTCCAGGTGAGCGGCACTGCACCAGTGCACCAGTGCACCAGTGCCCCGGCCGCCGGCCTGGTTCTGGGCCGCGCTCGCCAGCCTCAGCGGCGAGGAGCGCGCGCGCCTGCTGCAGTTCTGCACCGGCTGCTCGCAGCTGCCGCCCGGCGGCTTCCAGGTGAGCGGCACTGCACCAGTGCACCAGTGCACCAGTGCACCAGTGCCCCGGCCGCCGGCCTGGTTCTGGGCCGCGCTCGCCAGCCTCAGCGGCGAGGAGCGCGCGCGCCTGCTGCAGTTCTGCACCGGCTGCTCGCAGCTGCCGCCCGGCGGCTTCCAGGTGAGCGGCACTGCACCAGTGCAGACAAACATCTAAACCCGAAACAATCATTTGTAATCCATACAAATACTTGTTCCGTGCGGGATTCGAACCCGCGCCCCTCAGCGCAGCAACTCATTGCTAAGCCACTTGGCCACGAAGCCGTCTCTTATTTAAATATGAACTAATAAATTATGATAATGTAAAACATCACAAAAAATTTTCAATGCATTCTGAATTTTCATAGCTTTTCATAATATGTTTATAATCTCAAATCCAGCATCAGTCATTCTAAAACTTAGAAAAGTCAACGCATTGCTTCAATATTTTTCTTCAACTTGAATTTCAGATTTCAGAAACCATCATTCATTTTCATTTCATCCATTTATTTCGTTTTGTTCCAGGAGCTAAATCCACGTTTCCAAATAACAGCTGCGCCGACTTTTGGTGCGCTGCCCACGGCACACACGTGCTTCAACCAGCTCTGCTTGCCGGACTACGACAGCTACGAGCAAATGGTGCACGCTCTGCTCTGGGCCATCAATGAAGGCGGCGAAGGCTTTGGCATGATCTAGACCAAAGATAGGTTTAATAGGCTAATATGTTTATACAAAGGAGAAGACTTGAGAACTTGTTCTGCCTTACATCATAATTTATGAACGGGAAGAATTTTCAAAATCTAATTTAGCTTGATTGTTTTAGTAAATTTCAAATTCTTAGTTTAATATGTTAAGAAGATGTGTAATAATGATCTCTATGTGATTGTAGTGGTCACTATTTCTTTTAAGACTGAATGATTACACATGAAGCGGTTTAACTAAGTTTAGTTTAGTACTCTGTCATACCGTCACAGTCGTTTGCAAAACTAATAGGCTCTATAAAAAAACACAAATTTATTTTCATTATTTTAAGCCTTAAATCTCAATTTCCTTGCTGCCGATTCACAACTATAAGGGTCCATTCTATAGGTCTTGGTCAGTTTGTACTTGTAGACTACGTGAGGGTAATATGGTCATCCGGTTAATATGGTCATTTTCTTATAACTCAAAAAGTACCGCCTCATTTGCATAGACGGCTTTGTGATACGATAGCTCTTTATCACTCATTCAAATAATAAAGGGTCAAAAGGGCGCCGCTTTATCGACGCCATTTTGACTGTTGATATTATAGTAAGTACGTGAGGGTAATATGGTCAGCTTAAGCTTTATCGCCCTATAAAACCAAAATTAAGAGAAGAACAGAAACAAAAGCACAATGTCGTATACTATAACTAACATATTAAGAAAAAAATAGCAAACAAGCTTTGGAAATAATTAGTAACACTTCGAAAAATCTACTTAAAAAAACTAACTACACTACACAATACAAAAATCGACTAAAATATTTACAATAATATCAACTGTCAAAATGGCGTCGATGAAAGAACGCCTTTTTGACCCTTTATTATTTGATAGACTGATCAAGAGCTATCGTATCACAAAGCCGTCTATGCAAATAACGCTGTAGTTTTTGAGTTATAAGAAAGTGACCATATTAACCGGATGACCATATTACCTTCACGTACTATAGTTAGTTTTTATTAAGTTGATTTTTCGAAGTGTTGCTAATAATTGCCAAGGCTTGTTTGTTATTTTTTTCTATATTAGTTATAGTATACGATAATGTGTATTTGTCTCTGTCCTCCTCCTAGTTTTGATTTTATAAGGCGGCAAAGCTTAAGATGACCATATTACCCTCACGTACCTTACTGTTCGTTATCCTGTATCTTACAAATCCTAGATACTAGCTTAACTCGGTTCTTATTTCAATAGCTTTAGATCGCAAAATTTGACGTGTAAGTTAAAATGCCTATGTGTGAGTCGTTTTTTTTTATTCTGTTTTTTATACCTACGTAACACTAGGATTCTCTCCTGTATCATGGAGGCAGTTTGCAAATATAAATTGCACAACGAAAGACATCGGGAACGTCAGATGAAACTGTAAAAGCCAATACGCTATCAGCACTAACATCACAGAATAAAGACGAAGATATCCGGACCCGCAGCATTTTTTTGTAGATCATATAAATGGGTACTTGTTCCGGATACAGGACAAAATCCAAGTGTTAATGTTAAAAATATATATTATATTTTTGAGTTGTGACTGAATATTTACAAATGTTACGTAATTTACAAATTTTGTTTATTCGAGCTTTATCCCTATTAACCTGACCAAATGTAAGTCATAACGGCAGGTCATTTCCGTCTAGATAAGACGGCCGATAACGCATCGGGAATTTGGCTGAACAGTGTTTTAATTAATATTACAAAATGAACAATACCACATGTGTGCCCGCTATTTATATCTCGATGCGTATATACTATTTGTATCTCTATATTTTTGATCAAGGTAATAAAATAACAATTATATTCTTATCTCATACGAACAAAAGGAACAGGTAAATACTAAAATTATTTTTAAACCTGGTAGAGCCATGCTGCAGCTATACCAGTTATTTACTGACATAAATAATAAAATGAAAACATACACATATAACTACAATCCTTCTTATATTATTCTTGAAAAATAATGAAAATTAATTTAGTTTTGGGCTAAGGAAACAGAATATGATGATTTTGTCTATTTTATATAGGTATAATTGGAGTCAGTTTCCGAACTGCAGTTATCTCTCTCGGTTGTCTAACTTAATCATTTGGACGCAACGCGACAGCAATAGATCTTTCAAATCTATTTATAAATACTAAACTAATAACAATTTTTCAAATTTCTTGCAGCCCGGATATGCCCTAATATAATATTTGTATGAAAGTCGTTTTGTCCCTTTCTTTTAATAATTTGGGTAACAATATTTTGAACGTAAATATTAGTTATATAGAATATAATACAATATTAGTGTATCATTAAAAGTTGGTGCAACTGTGAATTTAGTTATCAGAGGCTAACGCAAGTGATTGAATGTTTATTATATTCATTCGTGTAAATATTTGATAAATATCGTTGTTAAAAATGTGGATATTTAACCTTTTAGATAACGTGCTGTCTATCCCAATCATGATGTCAAATATATTTTAGAATTAGTAATCAATCCTGCCAGAAAAGTCCACCGGCCGCGGAATTGATAATGAATGACAATAAGGAATAAGGACAGATCATGGTCGCCAGCAGTCACTTTAGTAGGTAAAGTAAGCGTAGTTTTGAAATAATAATTATTATAATATCAAATTTTGTTAGTCTGCTATGAACTATTTGGCTGACTATGAATGCAGTAGCTGTCATTTGAATCTGTCAACTTGGTCACATAATCTATACATTTGTACATATAAATAAAATTGAATTTTCTGTTTGAAATATTGAAATAACTGGCTTCTATTAAGCTCAGAGGGCTATTTGCATACTAGTAAATCATAAATAACCATTTTTTAAATTTTTGTACGTCTGTGTGTCTGGGCTAATCTTCGAAATGGTTGAACCGATTGTGATGCAACTTAACGAACAGATAGAGAGCACTGCCAGGTGGGATCTACGCTATATGTTATCTGAAAAAATATCATCAGTAGACTATCCAGGCGAAGCCTGGGCGGATTGCTAGTGTCATAGTATAACTGTTTCGTTATGTATCATATTAATACAAAGGATATTTTCAAGTAAAATTCTGGATCTTGAAAAAATATAACATAAATACAAGTGTATTTCTGCAATACGTCATGTTTGTCTTGTTAATTCTATACGCAGAAATAATTATCTCTTTCAAACAAGGATATATTAAAATTTGGATAGGAGTTTAAACCTCCAGAAAATACACGATACTGATGAAATGTTCTATGATATGCAACTTGAAGAAGTGTTTTAATTATTTAATTTCACAACCTTATAACACATTAGAATAGTGTATATTTTTCGACCAAAGGTGTGGATGGCGCTATTATTAATCGTTAATTATTATCCGCTTACCTAAATTTAGTATCAGCATGTCTCTAGTCCTATTGTCATTTAGTGAAATGAGAGAGTCATTAAATCGTCACAGGCACACAATTCGACTAAAAAGTTTGATCAATTTAACAATTGTATTCTTGCGAGAGAAGTTGTTAGTCTTTTCATTTATAAAGTTTAGTTTTATCAGTTGCAAATCTTTAATATTATATGACGTGCATCGCTGCCGCTTGTTTTCTATTTCTACTATCTACATCTTACTCAAACGATATACGTAAATTAAGTCTCACTGTGATCTTAACCAAAATATGTTTAAATATATTTTCGTATAATTTAATTCGCTATATTGTTCTAAAACTTTATCTAGGCACAGAGTGCTTAAAGTGTTAACCATTTTTATATTATTTTGTTCAATATTAATATGTAGCCTAATTTTCGATAACATAATGCAATATACATATAAAATGTTTTATGAACTGTGTACCAGTTATTTAATTATAGAAATGGCCTAATGTGCAATAATTCCATGCAATAACTTAGATATTAAAATTGCTACTATTATATTGTTCATGGGTACCTATATAAATTGATCTCAATTTTTTTTGAGGTCGATTTTAAATCATCAGATTTAAGTTATCTATAAATAAATTACAACCGGATCATACGGATAAAAGTAACACAGTTGAACTTTATTCATACAACTGTATTTTTAATTTGCATTTATTTTATTTTATCCTACAAAGAACTTTTATCTGATTATTCAAAAATCAACCCTAAAGATTGATTTACACGTTTCAAGTAGTCACTAAGTAGTCTATAACTAAATTTTAACTAATATTTTGTGACAATGCATATAAACAATGAATTTACTAATAAGTTGAAAGTAAAAATTTCGGAACATCACACTCAGAGTTATGATTGAACATTATTTTTAATTCGATTTGGATGAAATATACATATCTAGTTACTTATAGTACTATATTAAAGTTTATTCAAAAGTACTTCGCAAACGTGGTAATATTTTCGGAGCCCAAATATGAACAAACATTCTGAATGCGCTCAAGTTTATCAAGCAACTCCTCATTTAAATTGAGATAACACCTGTCAGCATAATCGAGAATCGGTAAAAGGAGTGATTGTGAAAGCGCAATTTTGGTTAGTATTGGTAGAAAATTGCTTAATCTACGAAGAGATTTCACCGACGCAAACACCCTCCTACTCACCTTGATTACCTGCGGAGCCCAAGATAAAATTTGTCAAAAGCAAAACCTAGATTTTTAACAGTGTCACTATGTAGAATTATCAATTTTTAACCGCCTATTATTATTGCTCTCGTTTTTGATGGATTTACTTTAAGACCATATGAATTACTCCAATCCACAATTACGTCAAAATCTTTGTTTAATATACTTTTAGTTTTGGGTAAATTCACCAATTTGGCATGCACACATACTTGGAGATCATCTGCATACAGGTGGAAACGAGAAGATAATTGGAGCGTAATAGAACTAATGGAGATTGAAAAGAGGAGAGGAAACAACACGCCACCTTGCGGTACACCGGCATTGATCATACACCAGTTGTAGAACGCGTCATCAAAACGTGTCCGTTGACGGCGACCAAACAAGTAACTATGAAATCAGTC